ATAGGGTAAGATGATTGCAACACTGGTGGATAGGACATACCTTGCAGTCTTGGACATTGTGGACGCAGATGCCCCTCTTCTTGACAATTGTAACAAACTTGAGGACGAGCTGGGTAATAAAGCCTTCCATTTGGACCAACGATTGGCTGTAAGGACACTCTCTCAGATTGACTATGCAGACCACTAGTGTAACCTGTAGATTGCTCTGAAGTCCTAGGTTTGACTGCAGTCCACGAGCTCTGATGACCTGAAACTTGACCGACTTGCTGCATTGAATAGTTATCTCCCGGAATACCTGAATACTGAAAAGGCTGCCATGGTTGACTTCGACGATTGCGAAACTCGCCCGGATGGAACTCCCGTGAAATACCTGGAGGTTGCTCATAGCTATATCGATTTGACTGCGAACCGTTTCTATATCCACTTGTCACCGCATAGTTATCCAAAGCAATTATGTTCTCATCAACTTCACAAGACGATTTAGATTCTCCACTCACCATGGTCCCTTTTTGCAGTCTCATTAGATCCTTCAACATCTCCCTTAACTCCTTGACTTCATCTCGGACTGACTCTGCCTTTGCAACAGATTTTCCCTTTGATACCTTCTTATCCTTTCTTGCAGGGCTTTTTCCTGACCTCCTCAATCTTGCTTGAGTTTTTGATGGCCGATAATACTCATCCTCATCTGCCTCAGACTCACTTTCAGATTGATCACTTTCATCAGACTCACTATCATCAGTTTCATCATAGTCCTTGCGTCTGCTGCCTGTAGTCTTCTTGTATCCCTTTATCTTGAGCTGGGTAGCAAGCCTCATTACTCCATTGACAACTTGATGTGGACTCTCACCCATGTCTCGACTCAGATAGGTCATAATTGCCATTTCTCGCAAACGCTGATTTCCTATACCATCAATATAGTAACGAATCAAAACCCTGTCAAACTGATCAAAGTGAGCTGGCCTCTTGCGTAGCAACCGAAGAACTTTCTTTGAGTAAGTAAACACATCTCGATTTCCCTGCTTGAGGGTGCTCATAGCTGAAAGAATCTCCTCATTGGCCTGAGCTCCACTTTCAGAATCATCAAATTGGTTTCTCAGATTATCGATCAAGGATCTCTCATCCCACAAGACATCCTCTGGAAGTTGGCGAAGGAAACGACCTGCACTAGACCGGATCGGACAAGCAATATGGATTTGAGCAACTTGCCTTTTCTGGGACTCAGGAGTTCTTCCATCAAACTCTTCTCCTATTGTCGCAAACCATGATTCCATCCATCCAAGAAAGTCCTTTATGCCGATCCCATTCTCACCTGTAAACACAATACTGGGTGGACGTGAAAGACCCATTTTCTCAAATAAGGGGAGTGGGACAAGACAAGTAAACAAACAGACTCACTATGTAGTACCAGGCAGCACAAGTTCAAGAACCGACAAATATAGATTGCACAGGTGGGCAAGTTGTCCAGGTATCAGACACCAATCCGTTTCAGAGCACCACTTGTGGAAGTGTCTTGGTTGTCTTCCGGATTTTGGATGGTGTGATTGACCGAGCTGACACCTGTGCAATTGTGGTAACCGTACAATGTAATATTCGATCGGATAAGAGTGTAGACTTATGCTGATAAAGTTGACAGTAAAACACAGTGAGAAAGCAAGCGAAAGGAGTGGGGAAAACGACAACCAGAAACAACAGTAAAGAAGGTGGTGGTATTGGTTGTACAGGATGGGTTCTCGCTGTCTTGTTCCTCCGCTCTCGCTGAGGAAGGCAAGGCCATGCCTCCAGGTGAAAAACAGCCACCTGCTAAGCCTCATCCCAAACAGAAAATTCTATGGGCAAAAACCCAGCAAACATGACCAGAAAACCCCTAAAACCTTCCTCGCACCACACCGGTACAATTGCATCAACCAAGTAGGAGTAGTGTTACCGTAAATGCTAAAATAAAGGAAAAATGTGCTGGGTGGTCAAATTAAGGTGACACATGCCAAGCAAGCGATGAGCAAATATCATTTTTTTAACTCTTGGCACCTATTCAAAGAAACACATTTCCATCATTGCTTTCAACATTTTCATTATCCTCTCTCACCCACCACCAATATCCGCGGATTATCATACACTTGATACTAATTTTTAATTTTTCTCGAAAGGCTACCGTACACCAACCAGCAGTACAAATAAATGGCATACCCTCCCGGGAACCTAGCAGAGCAGCTAGTACGGTACTCCATTCATAAAATATCACTCGCTTACTCTGCCCTACTCTCCAAATCTCCCAATAACGCCACCGAAACATCGCCAACAGACACGAGAGCGATGACAGAGGAGAAAAGCGCTCCGAGTTATACACTCCGAACGTTGCTAACCCCAGGTTCTATAATAACAACTCCAGCAAGAAAGAAAGGAAAATATAATTCACCCCTATCTCTAAAATTCAATGTCAACCTTCGTAGCCTTTCCTCTTTCCGCCCCACCATCATGCTCACCCTCCCCCCCATCCATAGGTGGTAAACTATACGCCTTAATCTCAAATCTTTTCCTAGTGACTGTGAAAGCAAGGTCCTCGCCACTCTGCCCACCAACACCGCCACCCTTCTCTCCAAGCACCGGTAGTTTCCACATCTTTACCAATCCCTGTGGAGCTTGATCCTGGCCTTTTACGTCTTGTAGTTGTGGGAGGGGTGTTAGCTCCAGCACCCCATCCGAGAGTATCTCAGCCCACCGGACAAGGCTTGTATCTCTGGGGTAAAGCTCGAGTGGAAGTGAAATCATGAGAGTAAGACTTGATGAATGTCGGCGAAGGAGGGCTCGCAGAGAGTGTAAAAAAGGCAGGAGGTGTCTTGGAGAGGATGCAGAGGTGGGATACACCAATGGCGACAGAAGGGAAGGGATAATTATTCGATGGAGGAGAGTGGGGTGGTGTTGGCTGATGATATTTGTAAGAGAGGTGAGAATTGGTGCAAACGGGGAGGTTTCAGCGGCAGGTGGGGATAGTGATTGCGACGGCAAGTGAATGAAGGATATTTTCGCCGTTGGGGGAATCGTTAAGCGCTTTGTTAGGTCGAAGGAGTGACAGAATGAATGTGGTGCGGTGGATGTATCAGGGTCTCTGGCACCTTTGGGGTCCTGCCTCGTAAAGCTTTGCGCTGTTTCATACCAGTCAATAGATTTACCAAGAGCATTTTCACGACGCCTGGATGGGAACAAACCCCTGCTCCCACCGATCCCGCTTCCAAATTCTCCCAACCTCTCATACCTCCAAGCTATCTTCATTCGCTCTCCCTCTTTCAGCTTCCCACCGCTCCCACTGTCTGCTTTCTCCGCGTCACCAACTACAGCCGGTAGATCCCTCACCCAGTTTTCCCCAAATCCTACTACTGTGATTGCATGTCCTTGGACGATTCCTTCAGCAGCATAATACCTCAACAGCGCCCCTCCGAAATCCGTGGTTCCCGGCTCTTCAATCAAAAGCGAGCAGCCTAAGGGTAGCCCCGCATGACCAGCGAGTAGCGAATCCAATGATGGTGTTCCTGTTGAAGTTGTGTATTGCCCGTTAACGGGCGAGGCGCGGGCGCCGGGTGGAGGCCCCTTGAGCACTGGAGGAATGGTTGAAGGTATCCCAGGCACGGGGGGTGCACCTGGGGGGCCACGGTTTATTACCAGGTTTTTTTTGCGGAAGCTCATCTGTGTGGGAGGGAGTTGGAGTTGTGTGCGAATATAGCCAGTAGATATTGTGGGGTGTGGGGTTCGGTATTACTGGGATACCGGTATTCATTGGGAACCACACCGTGAGCGACCACGGTAACCTGGAATATGAAACCCCTCCAAATTCATGATGCTCCCATGACGACGAGGACTACGAGTAATTCCTCCCTCTTCCTTCTCTCATCGATCGTGCTACCGGTGCTGTTGTACGAGTATCCACCGGATCTGAACTGGGGCCTCCCCCATGTACTCGTAACATCATAACTCCAAAAATCTTGAGCTGTCCACGCTCAAAGAAGGCCCGGACGCGAAACCCAAAGACTCGTGTTATGTTACGACTTCAGGCAAACGTAGACACAAGTAGGGCCCTATATAGTGCCATCCACGGATATTCATGGGAGGGGGAAAAGAGGAAGAAAAGTCACACCCATTTTCAATTTGGATAAACCCACCGGTCGAGGGCCTATTGACCAATAGCACCATCTGAGGCTCAAATCACGTGACTTGTGTCAGTCTACTCCAAATATGCCTGAGCCCTTTCTTGCCTGCAATCAACCCGTTACTCCCTCATCACTACCTCTACAGAATTTTGCTGATCCTCCCGGCTCCACCAACACAATGAGGTGAGCACTGCCCTTTCCAAAGTTCTCGCAATATGCTGGGGCTACTATTCTAACTGCGCAGTGAGCCAATTCTCTTTGATTCCACCTTCGCTATCACCGGTTTCGACCAGAATAAATACGACCGTGTCGCTCGTATATCTGGGGAGAGAGAGGATCTGAAGTTCTCCCTTGACATCCACGTCGAGCTCTACCCAGTTGCCGTTGGCGAGACGGTTCAACTATCCCTCGCGTCCACCTTATCCCCCGATGGCGCAAAAGAGGACCCAGCGGAGAGCAAAACCGGTTGGAAGGAGAACAAGGCAGCGGAGCCGAGCCTTGCTGACACCTATGACTACGTTTGCCATGGGAAGGTGTATAGATTCGAAGAGGGAAATGGGGAGTTCATGTAAGATACCTATACTCAGGTGGCTCTATTTCCTTCATTGTGTTAATAGAATCGGGTGTTCAGCAAGGTATTCGCCTCCTTTGGAGGTTTGCTTCTCTTTCTCGAAGGTCCTCATAAGAAGCTATCCTCGATGAGACATGAGTATGTCTACTTACTCATGAAAAAATAAATTAGACACGTTTCTAGTCAAAAAGAGAAAAAAGAACTGTATACTGTCCCAGCATTCACTAGTCCACAGGATCATAACAATGTCAAATTACTACGGAGAAAACACAGTCGTTCCCGCCCGGAACACCCACGGACCCGCCCCATCTCTGTGAAACGGAGTACGACCCTCGATAAACTTAGTCCATAGCATCTGTGTGAAGTTGACAGATCACCATGTTGGGAATTCTAAAATTCTATGTAGACGGGAGCCGATTTCAATGTAGTCCGGTTCGTTTTCCGGGGTAATGATCCCATGACGGATGAAGAAGTCCTGATATCGTTAGCTTCGTGACTGCCGTGAGGACGAATTTTCCCATATTCCTACCAGAAGCACTATAAATACTTTTAGTCTAGGTGTCTAATTTAGCCAGGGTTGAGTTCATACCTAAATTGCAATTGGGCTTAAAACTTCCTTTTGCCAATTCAGCTTTTACCTGCTCCAGAGTCAGTGGCACCTCCCTCTCACGAAAGACATTGCCTTTCAGACCTGTTCCACGTCCATCAAGTGGAAATCTTGCACCTCGTCATCGCACGGTTTTGGGATCACATCATTCCCAACTTCCAAGTCGTAGACATACTGCACCTCGGGTTGGAAAAGTCCCTCCTCGCCTCCAGCAGTCTTCATTCTCTGGTAGAAATAGGACACATGCCCAGCGGCCTTTGCTTTCTCCCTAATCAAACTTTCTGGGAAAGAGGCCTCCTCTTCTGACTCTTTCACCAGAGTTTCAAAAACTGACATTCCCGAGGAGATCCCCCCAGCAACAGTATTATCCAAGAGACCGCCATAGGTAGGTTTTTCTGGGTTACGGCGGGGCACCCATATCTTCAATGGGGAAGTAGTATATGCCGTCATATGGACCTACGCACTGTCAATCAAGTAGCAAGACATGATGGACCCGTGAATACTCGCTCCATAGGTAACGACCCCAAACAAAGCACAAGCACTCCTCTCAAGCTTGAAATATTCATGCCCCTTAGGGCTGTAGACAGTATATAGCTCATTCCTCCATCCCTTCAGAATATCGAAAATACCATTCTCTCCCCATACCTCGGTGGTCTTTCGGATATTCTCCGAGCGCTCTTCGACGGTTTCGCCAGTCAGAGTAATAACCTTCCCGGCAAACCCCCAGTGCGTGCCCGAGAGTTTGGTGTCCTTTAACACCGCTGTAACTGATGGGAGGATATAGCCGAGGGTGTGTGTATTGTGAACGAGGATAGACAATTCCCCTAGGCGCTCCGCATGGGAAACAGGGTGTGTAGCAACGTTTGGGAAACTGTCCACCAAATTGATGAGATCGAGATTGGAATAGTGTTTAGAAGTCATAGCGGTGGAAATATGGGATTGGTAATTCTTGGGACGACGCCGGATGATGTTACAAGGAAACGGAGGAACAGAGGGTAGGTTGTTTTAAAGGGAACCAAGGCGAGTTTGTTCCCACTGCACAACATTACCATGTCTGTGTCTAGCCCTATGTTTTTGCGAGATTGAGGTTGGGGTGTGGCAAGAGGCAAATATCATAATGATATTATATGAGAATGTACCGTACCGGTACTCGAGTACCCGAGTCGAGGTGTGTTATCGATATGAAAGCCCCACTTTACCACACGACCCCACCTCAACGGTTATCCCCCATATTCTCGTGCTCTCCTCGTTCCTGATCCCATCGAAACCACAACCCCAATATTTCAGAAAGGAGGAAATCAACATACCCAATGACTCCAACAAAATTGAACGCCGCCATCATAGTTGTCTCAACAACTGCGTCAAAAGATCCTTTCTCTGATGCATCCAGCGGTCTGCTCACTGAGTCCTTTGCTGCCAATTCAAGTGCAGAATCAGCCACTTGGCAGGTCATCGCACGAAGCATAGTGTCCGATGATCGCGAAGAAATACAGGGAGCTCTGAAGACCCTTTTGGAGGGTCCGACTAGATTGAACCTTATTGTGACGACTGGTGGGACGGGTTTTGCTATTACAGATATTACTCCCGAAGTAAGCAATCCAATCTCTGCCCTTTTCTAGATACTGATAATAGGGATAGGCAGTGAAACCGTTCCTGCAGAAAGAGGCTCCAGGATTGGTGTAGGTTTGATATCTCTCAAATGGTCCCCAGAATGACGCTAAGCGACGATAGACATGCTATGCTCTCAGCCTCACTTAATATCACACCATGTGTGCCTCCCAGTGTTCAACCCCTATGTTATACTAACTAAACTATAGTCTCGATGATGTCGCGACCTGTCGCTGGCGTTAGCGGAAGCACTGTTATCATTACGCTCCCCGGTTCACCAAAAGGCGCCACAGAAAATCTCGAAGCCCTCATAAAGTTACTCCCACACGCTTGTATCCAAGCTGCTGGGATCCAAAGCTCCCGCAAACTTCATTCCGGGGGTGTTGAGTCTCTCGAAAGGCATGCCGGTATTCATAAGCACAGTAAACACCCCCCTAAAAGCGATAGCCCCCACAGCGGCCATCGCCACCACCACCATCATCACGGCCACAACCACGGCCATGCGATCCCTAGGGCTCATACCAGTCCCGAATCGAGAGCCAATAGGCTCGATGATGCTGTCACAAGAAGGTACAGAGAAAGCCCGTACCCAATGATTACGGTGGAAGAAGCGACCGACATGATTGCCCGGGAAACACAAATAAAGGGGATCGTTCAAGTTCAGGTCAACGAGGACCTAGTGGGCTATGTACTGGCTGAAGATGTCACAGCTGCGGAGAGTGTCCCTGCGTATAGGGCGAGCATTGTGGATGGCTACGCCGTAGTGCATTCGGACGGGAAAGGAACTTATCCCGTTGTGTCTGTATCTCATGCTGCCCCGGGTTCAATTCCCCCTTTGAGCTCCGGCCAGGTTTCTCGAGTCACCACAGGAGCACCCTTACCACCCGGCGCAACCGCAGTTGCCATGGTTGAAGATACGGTCCTAAAATCCATGACCGAGGATGAGAGAGAGGAGGCAGAGGTGGAAATTCTGGCAGACAGAATGGAGGACGGGGAAAACGTTCGCGAGGTCGGCAGCGATGTTATGAAAGGAGATGTTGTTTTGAGAAAGGGGGATATCATATCTGCGATCGGTGGAGAGGTTGGGTTGCTGGCTTCCGTTGGTAGAGCTTGGGTCAGGGTATATGACAAAGTCACTGTCGGCGTATTGAGTACCGGGGATGAAGTAGTTCACCACGATAGGGAAGGGGAATTGCGACTCGGTGAAATACGGGACAGTAACCGCCCAGCTCTTTTAAGTGCAATCAAAGCTCAAGGGTTCTCAACAGTAGACCTAGGAATCGCAGGGGACAAGACAGGAGCACTACAATCAACGCTAATAGAAGCTCTACAAAGCGTGGATGTGATCGTCACGACAGGAGGTGTATCAATGGGAGAGCTAGATCTTCTGAAACCCATAATCGAGCAATCACTCAATGGTACCATCCATTTCGGAAGGGTAGCGATGAAACCGGGGAAGCCGACCACGTTTGCTACAGTCCAATCGCCTAAAAAAAAGCTTATATTTGCATTGCCGGGGAACCCAGCCTCTGCGCTTGTCACCTTGCATTTGTTTGTCTTACCTTCGCTTAGGAAATCTCAAGGATACGAAAAGTACGAGTTTCCCCAAGTCAGAGTTACAGTCGACGAAGATATGAAGCTTGACCCCCGTCCGGAGTTCCGAAGGGCATTTGTTAGATTTGACGAGGTAGACGGGAGACTGCATGCTAGTGGGACCGGTGGACAAAGGAGTAGTCGTATTGGTAGTGCCCACGGAGCGAACGCGGTTCTGGTAATGCCAGCGTTGAGGGAAGTTAGCGAGAAGAGGAGGGAGTTAGGATGCATTCCAAAAGGAGAGACTGCTGACGCGATTCTATGGGGACAGATTGGCTGCGCTTAGGGGTTTGCAAGATCAGAAAGTTTTGTTGGTTATGATAACCTAGTTCAAAATTCAATGCGAGGTCGAATCGCCAATACCGAACCTGAAGGGTGTTCAGAACCTGCCAAAAATGAATGATCTCACTGTTAGAAGGCTTGGGTATGATACCTTCGGAAAATGTTAGGGTTTGTAGTATTGTGAATATAAAAAAAATACGGTCAGGGACTCTGGACTCTCCAAACCAACATGCAGCCCTGTTCGGAGCACCGACGGTTTTTCCCCTAGTACCTGAGACGGGCTAGCTCCGGTGTAGAAGTAGGTGTCATGGGTAACTAGAAGGTACCCCTCCGCTCATTCTGACCAAAGATGGCAGGTGGACTATTAGTTGAGGAGCAGCGGAGATAGATATGTTGCAAAATATTTGCACTGCTCGTAGTGACGCGCCATATCTAATTTTCGGTACTCCCCAACCGCTCTCCTACTTCCTCTTTCTTCGGTCAGAGTAGGTGAAGGGGTGCCTTCTGTGTAACTATGGCGCTCGTTTTTGCCTTGCTCCGTTTAAAGTACCGGTATTAGGGAATAAGCTGTTTTTGAGATATCGTGCCGCCTTGTATTTTCATTGGCATGGCACATACCAAACGGGGTCCAATGCTCACACCGTGTCCATGAGCTACCGGTAGACTACTGGTATCGAGTGAGAATTTGTGAACCTACAATATCTTGAAGTATGATATCAACTATGACCTCTCCTATATGATAGTAGGAATCGTGTTGGTCATGTGGAACCGGCGCCCGAATACCTGACCACTAAGTTATAATCTTCGTTGTAGCAGGCCGGCGGCCCTGGGAGTTTTATATCATATTATGATAGTACGGGATTTTCTTGTCACAGGAAATGAATCGTTAGTTTTCGTGAAACCCGGTGCAACTTAGTCTACCAAAGAGGCTCATTTGTGTTAGTCAGCGACTTCTGTGTCCTTCTCGCCTTTCGCACTCTTCTTCTCCTCTTCTTCCTCTCTTCCACGACAACAACTCCTTTCCTCTTCCATCATCCCCAGTTGTTTCTCATCAGTTACAACTTCACTTTTCCTTCTCAGTGGAAGGATATTTCTTGTCGATCGTCTTAATCTTTCCGCCCTTTTTTCTTTTACTCCTCTTTCCGCCTCTACGGACCCTTTACGATTTCCTTCACCCATCTCTATTTTTTTTTTCTCTTCCACAGAACGCCAACCTCTTTTAACGAACATCATGTCTGGCGAAGAAGATCTCATTGACTACTCCGACGATGAGGGTCTTGATGCTACCAAAGAAACCCCTGCCGTTGCCGCTAACGGAGATGCTGCGGCTAAAAAGGCTGACGCGACTGCTGCCGCCGGTGGTCCTGCTGCCGACAAAAAGGGCTCCTACGTCGGTATTCATTCTACTGGTTTCCGCGATTTCCTTTTGAAGCCTGAGCTTCTCAGAGCTATCGTCGACTGCGGTTTCGAGCATCCTTCCGAGGGTCAGTTTTTTCTCCTCCCTACATCTTGAAAGCAAAATTACCCTCTTTTGTCACTCCTGTCTTCCCTCTGCATACACGCGTCGAGTCTCCGTGGTGGTCTTCTCGTCGTCTCTCGTCTGGGTGGTGGCTACATTCTCGCTTAGCTCGTGGAGCATGGAGAAAGGATGGAGAGAATTAAGGACAGATCACCTTTGTTTGTGATTGATGTATGCAATCACATCCAAGCGGTAAAAAAAAAAGTCGCCTTGCCTTACGATACCCGAGGACATCGTCGCGACTTTTTTGTTTCGAACCGTGGTGTATCGAGACGATTGAGGGATTCATATCATAACCACGAATGGTCATGAAGGGAAGCCATCTCCAACTGTTCAGAGTGGAAGAAGACAGAGATCGACGAGATAGACATACTTCTACACACTCATACGCATACGCCTTTGCATTTGATTCCCAGTCATCACTTTTTACAAAATTCGGTCGGGAGTTAACAAGTATTCGGGTTCGTTCTACAGTTCAGCAAGTTTGTATCCCACAGTCCATCCTCGGAACCGATGTTCTATGCCAGGCCAAATCTGGGCTTGGAAAGACGGCGGTCTTCGTTTTGACCACCCTTCAACAAGTCGATCCAGTCCCCGGAGAGGCATCTGTCTTGATCATGTGCCACACTCGCGAACTGGCCTATCAGATCAAGAACGAATATGCCCGATTCAGCAAATATATGCCTGAGGTGCGGACCGCGGTCTTCTACGGTGGCACACCAATGCAGAACGACGTTCAGGTTCTTAAAAATAAGGACCAGCACCCACATATCATTGTTGCCACCCCGGGACGATTAAACGCTCTTGTCAGGGACAAGCACCTAAGGTTGGGTAGTGTTAAAGTATTTGTCTTGGATGAATGTGACAAGATGCTTGAGCAAATCGGTCAGTTCGGAGCACATTTCTCTCACTTGTTGACACATGGATTGCTAACGTCTTTCCCCGGCTTAGATATGCGTCGTGATGTTCAGGAAATTTTCCGGGCCACTCCTCAACAGAAGCAGGTCATGATGTTTTCAGCTACCCTTTCCCAGGATATTCGTCCCATCTGCAAGAAGTTTATGCAGTCTCCGCTTGAGATCTATGTCGATGATGAAACCAAGCTCACTCTCCACGGTCTTCAGCAATATTATGTCAAGCTTGAGGAAAAGGAAAAAAATAGAAAACTTAATGAACTCTTGGACCAGCTTGAGTTTAACCAAGTCATTATTTTCGTCAAGAGCACCATCAGGGCCACTGAACTCAACAGACTTCTAAACGAATGCAATTTCCCAAGTATTGCGGTTCATAGTGGTATTGCCCAGGAAGAACGGTAAGATTTTATCGTCACGTCGGCAAACTCCCGTAATGTAAGCTAACCCAGTGCAGTATCGCCCGATACAAGCAATTCAAGGAATTCAATAAACGCATCTGTGTTGCTACTGATGTATTTGGCCGTGGCATTGATATCGAGCGCATCAATCTGGCAATTAATTACGATCTCCCTGCCGATCCGGACTCCTACTTGCATCGTGTGGGACGTGCCGGCAGATTTGGAACCAAGGGATTGAGCATCTCATTTGTAAGCTCTAAGGAAGATGCTGAGGTCCTTGACAAAATCATGGAGCGTTTCGAGGTTAGCTTGGATGAATTCCCTGAAGGCGGAATTGATTCTAGCTCGTAAGTTTCCCTATTTGACGATTATGACATAACTATGCCCGTGCTAACTGGCTATAGTTACATGAATACCTAAATTTGACAAAGGTTTCCTTGTTTGAGTGCATCCTGTTGGGATTCTGGAGGGATTTTTTTTTCAAAAAAAAAATTTAGGTCCTCATTAATAAACATGCGGTTGGGGTTAGGAAAGGTGTTTTACACGTGTGGGAAGATCGGTGATACGTTACCTGGGCATCGTTATTGCTTTTTTTTTTTTTTTTTTGTTTTGTTTAGGACACATTCCCTTAATCGGCCTCGAGGCAAATTAAGCGTTGGTATTCATGTTATTTTTGCTACCAGTTTTACCTTGCTCCGTATACTTCATGTACCTGATGTCTTTCTTCCTCATGGGGGGGTTTTTTTTTGTTCAGTTGAGGACATAGTTGATTCAATCAAAAGATAGTGCTCGCACCTACGATGTCAGGTGTCCACGAGATGGTTTTGCGCACGTCTGCGTCTTATCTTGTTTACCCGCAACACTGGGTATATGGTATTATTTCTTGTATGCTGTGGGAACCGGCTGGCAATGTGTTGGCATACAAGATGGTGGTTTCTAAATGGCTGATGTTTACAGACTCCTCCCCCACGAGCTCTTCAGATGGTTGTCCCTGGCTGCTCCCCTACCCGATTGTGCGCTTTTCGTGGGATTTGAATTGCTATAGCTTGCTCGGGTGTGTGTGGGTCTAATGGAGGAAACCCAAGATTTTCAGTATGCCGGGTGGTTGCGTTTTCTCGACTTGTGTGTGGGTGACATGCCGGCAGGGCAGAATGTGGATAAGAGATGTGGGTGCTTTGCGAATAGCTCCAAGTCTAAGAGGTTCTACGAGAGCCGTATGTATCCAGTATAAGCTCTTGCCCGGTAGGGTGGTTGGGAGGTTTTTATCGATATCCTTTGTAGATATAGGAGGTAGTAATTATTCCAGTCTTGCCTTCAAGTGCCATGCATGGGGTGACCTTCCGTAGTTGTGGACAATGTAGCGGGAGTGATGCCTTCGCCCCGCCACGAATTTGACCGCTAGGGGGCCAAACACAGACTCACGAGAGCTCTCGTACCGTAAGAACTCGAATAATTGAACCTGGAGCTAGGACGTCGGGGTTGCCTCTACTGGTATGGTGCGGTGTTTTTTACTTTTCTTTTATCTTAAGCAGGGGCTCGGGGAGTCGGTTTTCGCTGTGCTCTCGGCCCCCTATCCAGGAGAGGGAATTCTGAACGTTCTAGCGCGAGGTTCAATTATTCGAGTTCTTACGGTACTGGAGTGTCTTACAGAGCGGGTGATTGTGTATGAGTAATGTAGGGTGATCATACAGGCCTAACTCCTTCCCGGCGTCACGAGCCGTTTGAGTCTATTATTTATTATTATTATTATTATTAGTATAATTCTCGTGGCCAAAACTTGTAGCAGTGTTCGTGAGCGGGCTGGCTGGCCCGGCCTGAGTTTTTCCGGATGAGGTTCTAACTAATATACAGATATCTACGGGCTTCTGGGTGATTGGGAGTGGTTTCTCTGATTCTGGTGAGTTTTCAATTGGGTGCGCGTGTGTCGATTGAACACTCTTCTGGATAAGTCGCATCAATTATTGCTAACAAACAAATAGACTTCATGTCCTTGATGTGCCAATTGGGATGAGGAGAAAGAAGTCGAAAGAACTGGCACTCCCGGTAATAGCCCGGCGCGCTTTGGCCGCCCCGAGGCGCCGGTAGTCCGATCTACGACTCACCAATTCCTTGCTCACCCCAGGTTTCAACTCCCATTGCCTGTGCCCGTGCTCACCGCGTGTGCCGGTCAGTCGCCATAGGGACTAGCAAATGTAAGTGAGTACCGCAAGGCATTTTCTCCTTCTTTCCACAATACTCGCACAAGTCCCCAAACAGCCGGCCCCAAACAACCGACCCCACTCGCAGAGTTCGCGTGACTACAGTAGTTCTGAGGTGTCTACAGGCTAGCCATCCCGCTCGTGAGAGCCCTTCATTAAATTCGCAGTGCGAAGGATGTTTGGGGAACCATGTGGCGGAGATGGGGGGTGTATAGGGAAGAGTGCTAGGGATCCGGAGGGTCCGTGATGGTATGATACTCGGGTTATCGGAGAAAATAGCTGAGTGGTTGGGTGGTAGTTGTGAGTGTGCCAGCAATCCATAGCAATATATCGAGAAGTAGTATCGGAGGTTACCCGGCACTCCAACGTTTGGAAAAAAACAATTTGTTGCTGGTGTGCCCTGCGCCTGAAATACCGGTGCCAGTAGGTATTGTGTCGAATCGGCACATGTTCCCAACTACCGATGTTGGAAGATATCTGTGGGGCATCTGATATCTGCTACTTATGGACAATAGTCATTAATCAAGTGGAATATGCCGAAAGACTAGAGGTGCAGGCGCTCATAAAGCCTACAGGCACTATGATAGCCCATGCAGTGCCTGCGAAGTCCGGGGCAGGGAAGTCTCGCTTTGGCCTGTTCCTTTCTGCACTACATTCGCAGGCGCCCGGCGGGGCGAGATTGCCGCCTACGAATACTGACCTGTCGTAAGACTGATGGCGATGAGCCCACTATTCACGCAATCGTAGGAGCTGTATCGGAGAAGGCTGTCGGGCGATGCCATGGAATACAAAAACTGCGATCTCCTCCAGCCCTATTTTCGGGTAGTCACTTCCCACAGTGTTGACCTGGTGTCAAACTACCCACCTACGCCTACTGGATTTAGTTATGAAAAAATTGTACTGGTCCAACCGTAGTGCTCTTAGCGAGGGTGGAAGGCTGATGAACTGCATGACGCTGTTCTCTAGTTTCTATAGCTATAGCAGAACCTGCAAAGAGGTAGAAAGGCGATGTTCTTGGTTTCGAAAACTTCACTTCTTTGACATTGCTCTGGCCCCGGGCTTCTTGCTTCGTCGACTAAACTTCCTTCTTGATTGTCGGGAGAGATTATATAAAGGGGATAGTATCCTCTTTCCTTTCACCTTTACTTGCTCTCTATACCCCCATTCCAACTCTTGAGTAAATCCTTCTTCCCTCCTTTGCCTACCTTTGCCATCCGTCCCTTTTTTCACCTCATTCTACTTCGTGGCTCTATATCTTAAGGGGTCTTGATACCATTCCACCAAATTGAAAGCCTCCTAAACAGCAGAACCAACGAGTGGCTCGGCTACCCTATTATTAAATGATTCGCCGGTGCCGGGCCTTGCAGAATCAACCGTAACCTGTGCTCATGGAAGCCCACTCGTTTTCAATACGCTTTAAGAACACGAAATATCGCTTTTTTTTGGGGGGGGGGGGGCATGGCACTAGCAAGCTTACAAATCATCATTCTTCCCCCCCTTCTGGGTTCCCAATTCCTCTTCTCCACCTACTTCTTCGCGTTCAAAGCGCAAGTAATATCTACTAACCCATCACCATTACTACTATAAATATCTGCTTTAGCTGTTGCGACTCCTATCCCTGCGCCATTCTACGCCCACAATTATTTGGTATGGACAAACACCCATTAGGAAGTGGTAAGGCATGGGATTTACCTTAATCTCTATTACTAACATGTTTGGCAGCATTTGGGGGTTGCAATTCCAGCTCTGCCACGTCCTACAAGACCCCGAAAGCGGTGCCTCGTGGCGATACACGGGGTATCTACCTGTAACAGTGACTGGCCGGTATGCGGGGTATAAAGGGTTCATTGCTGATAGTAATGTAGTGAGTGCAGCAGTGTCCGCATAGGTCCCAGGGTCTGAAGGCTAATCACTGGTTAGGTAGGGGCAAGATCCAAAAGAACAAACATGAGCGAAAGACCCACAAGGACACACAAGTAAAGAGGCGCCACCTTAGGGGAATATATGTATATGTATGGATACCAATCTGCTTGTGAAAGTCTAGGAGTCTGGTGGGCGGGGGTTGCGGGAATTACCTTTACTCATGCCCTGCACCCTAAGGTTATCACCTCTGGATGAGCAAGCATGGCTTCCTAGCGGAATCACGATATATTTTGGGTATATACTCTGGGAATGATGGGTTTTGTTATCCTGCTTCTCTCCTTGTTCTCTTTACCAAACAAACATGTATATTAACACTTGTTAGCGTTGACCATAGTAACCTCACGACGTAATATCAATCGCTGAAAGCTCGAATCACACATGCGCGATGAACGGCAGTTGGTCCATATGACTCCATCCACCAATCCACCGACTAAACCGGTCAGTATAAAGCTCTTTCTTTCGCTTTATTCCTAACGTGCGTAAAGACGCCACTTTGCAGTTTAACATGGCCTTCAATATTTCGAATACGGAAAAAAAAAATCTCCACGCAACCACTCTAGAAACACTAGATCACGCTATGTGGGGTACCCCCTGGCTCGGTAATCAAGTTTAACTTCATCCATTTATTCACACCCCAGCTATGTACTACTATACCAGCAGCCGACCACCTTCGATGAAATTACTACAGACAAAGACTTGATCACCAATAACTCTGGCACGCCAGCAGCACTTCTCAGCTACCATACGATGTTCAGTCAAGCAAATCATCATGTCATGTCGCCCATACAGGCAATGGGTATCAATAATTACACCTGAACCAACCGCCCTCCCCCCCCCCAAAAAAAAATAAAAGAAAGAAAAGAATTTACAAAACAAGTCATCATACACCTCGGAGCACTCCCACCACCCTCGCAACAGTAGTTACACCAGCAAACAACAAATAGTCCAAAAAAACCGACAAAAATAATAATCAAGCCGACAAACGCTCCGTAATTGAAAACGACAGCGATATAATCTCCGATACAGCACCTGAACAAAGAAGAAGAAAAAAGAAAGAAAAAGTCCACCTCCGAGCTGAACGTGCTGACTCTCATTAGGAAGTGACGGCACAAGTCAACATCAACTCGAGCTCATTCACCATCCCCCCTCTCCAATCTCACTAAGCACCTCCGACAAAAGCAACCAATCAAGAAACGCCCAAACGTAACGGAACGAAACGAGACGAGACGGAACAATCATCACTCACCCAGCTCGCAAGAGCTTGAATAATTATTCGAAAATCAAATCAAATCAATTCCCCCAACGGGCAAAAACGCAAGGGGGAAAGGAAGAATTTCCACCCCTCCGACAGAACCCAAAATCACAATAAATTCTACAATATCATAACTACTGGTAGCACACGGGGGGGGGGAGTGTTCCAAGTCCGAACTCAATCAATCAACCAATCAATCGATCGATCGATCATCATCCCCAACAACATGATACAATCACAGTACAACACCAACCCGAGTGATAACCCATGACCCCCAGCCTCACGAATTTACTCGAGTACAGTATTCGTACGATACGGCAAACTAACAACCACGGTAACTACCTGGCAAGTGCCGTGAAAACTGAAGGCTTGGGTAAGACCTCCCCTCCCCCACTCCCCCACTTACCAAAAATTGCCTACGGTACCGTTACTAGTATCGTAACGGAGATCTCCCTCCCTCTGCTGACTTAGATCCATCCATCTATCTGCACGATGAGCAGAGCACAGTATTGTAAGAACTCTCGGATCAACGGATGTGCCCGGTACTCGAGCACTGGTACGGTAAATTTACGCTACGACGCGGCGCGGTACGGTACGATTACAGCAAACGAAACGAAACGAAACGCGAATCCCGCAATATACGTGGGGTGTGGGGATGGGAAAAAGGGGACGATACCGGAGTTTTTTTTTCTTTTCTTTTTTCATACCAGTTGGGATGTGGGTGTGATAAGATACCGTACCGAATGGTACTATGGTATCGTATAGTCAACCCCGAGTGGGATGGACGTGGAGTGGATTGTGGGGGTATATGAGTCGGGGGTGCGGTTTTGGTGTGGTTTCTTTTGGAAGGAAGGGTCTACAGTAATTATGGATGAGCGTCAATTATTATCCTATGGAGCCAACTTGGTTGCATCGTATCGCCGTGTATTATGTCATACTTGTACGTGAAAAAAAACGAGGCCGGGTATCTTTTCACGGACAAGGACGCGAGTTTTTGTTTGGTGCTTCGTTTCCAAAGCTACGGAAAACGGGGGGGGGAGTCTAAATTAAGCGCGAGCGACGGCGGTTAAGTTACACATGGCATCCCCTTTCGATCTCAGCCCAGTATTAGATTAAATTTATACGGTACCGGTAATCGACAATCTCACTCATCACCATCAAACATCATAACCCCACAAGATCAAGCGCGCGCGCCCCTCCTCCTCCTCCTTCCCCTCTGCGCACATCATACAGAAATCCATGGCCCGAAAAAAAACAGCCAACCCCGCCGCTACCGCAGCCACCGTATCAACCCCCCGACCCCCCCATCCCCACCTATTCACCCGCCTAAACTATCTCCACCAGTCCGCGCATCTCTTGCTTACCTCCGGCTCTCCGAACCTCTCCAGAAACCTGGTCTCCACGGCGCGCACGGTTGCGAAGAAGGCCGTTATCAGATTCGACCCATCGGTAAAGCGCACTTGGTGTAAGCGCTGCGACGCTGTGCTTGTGCCCGGGGTGAGCTGTGAGCACAGGGTGGAGAATTTGAGCAGGGATGGGAGGAAGACGTGGGCAGATGTGCTGGTTGTCAGGTGTTGGGGATGTGGGTGTCTGAAGAGGTTTCCCGTGGGGAGGGGAATGGGTAAGAGGGGCGGGAATGAAGGTGGGGGGGTGCGAGAAGGGGAAGATAATTTTGTGGGGGAGAGCAAGAAGGAGGAATATGCAGGAGGAGATCCTACAGGCTGAGAGTGTACTGTACTGTACATCATAAGTGTCGCCAATATCAAAGGAGGCATTCCGGTATAACAAGTATCAATCCGGGTAATTAATCGCAAAAGCAACAATCCCCGGCTAAAATTTTCGCGGCCACGCAGGTACAGTATATATATAACCTCGATTCCCCAGCTCCCAATACCAGGGACATGGGTAGCTAGGAGAATGCGGAATAAGAGTGGGACCGCAAAAAAGAAAACCTCTCCAAACAGCTCCACAGAAAAAGAGTGAAAACCGAAAATGAAGAAAAGCCACCCCATCTCGAAATCGCACATTCATATCAAAGTCGATTTTCCTCGACAAAAGGTATTAAAAGAATAGTTACTAAACAAAGTCATTTGAGGGTAGGAGGGTGATAGATAGATAGGGCACAGGTGAAACCCAAGTATGTGCTTGAAAAAGTAAAAGAGAATAGAAAGGAAGAATAGGTTAAGAAAAAGGGAAAGGGACTAGACGTATAGCCTGGACAATAAGAGGATTAAAAAGAGCAACCGTAAAAACCGGTGATCGGTAGGAGAATATAAGGAATCAAAAAGAGTACTGTCCAATGAGTGTATGTGCTTCCAGCCCTTCGCCGCAACCCCCAATGCCAAACACAAAGCAAACATGAATCGTAATAGGCTTCGATTTGCGCCAGGCATCCTTTTTTATGTGGTCCCCACCTGTCTATCGTCCCCTTGTATGAAACCCCCGGCCAAACCGCAAAACCGAACCCCGCGCGAGGAAAGAGAAAGAGAAAAAAAGAAAAGAGAAAAAGAGAAAAGAGAAAAGAGAAAAGAGAAAAAAAGAAACCCGAATACGCACTTGTCATCGTTAGGTAATGAAGAGGAAAAGGATGAAGGAAAATAGCTGAGCCCAAGAGGTCAGGCGAACAGGAGCAACGTTTAGCTGAATAAAACTGTGAGATCCACAATATATGACCCTGAATAAAACCATGATATTACACCCGACCCGGAAAGATATAAAGTAGACAAGAAAGCTGAAAACCCTATGTACGGAAACTGCGGGTGCGGATTCGCTGTGATCCTGCCCACACTAATGCCTCCCAACTTCCCCATTGCCCAACCTCAATGCTGAGGAGGCGCAGATAGGAAACTTTTAAATCAGGAAAAAAAGAGGGGGGGGGGGAGTGGGCGGGGGTAGGCAGGAAGTATGACTGTGGAGAAAATGACAACAAAAAACAACTAAACCTAAGAGGTGAAAACACGGGATCCAGCAAGACTCTTTCTCTTCTGTACCCGAACTTTTGAACATAGGCGTGCTGCACCTTTTTTTTTCTTTTTCCGAATATGCAAACCAAACTTCACCGCACATCCCGGAGATATCTATCGAACCGTCGCTTCTACCCTTCGCTCAAGGCTACTCGAACTGCTGGAGGCTGAATGTTCAGCGCCACTGCTGCCGCTGTCGTTACTCGGACTAGCGCTGGCACTACCCGTCGTACTTCGATCGCGGTTACTTGGCGGACCTTTCAACGGATTGATTTGGCTTACCCCGTTAGAGACCTGTTCAACCTGATGCAGCAGTCCTTGACCTTCGAGATATCTTGGAGCAGATTGCCTCATCGGACCATTCGGAATGGAACCATTTTGTTGATAACCGTTAGGTCCATAACCATTCGGGGGGTGACCATTCGGGGGGTGACCATTCGGGGGGCCCCTATAACCCCGCTGGTCTTGGGGGTATCCGGGTCGAGGCCCATGACCATTAGGTGCCCCAGGCAGCCCGCCGGGTGCCATGGCTGTTCGGCGGACCGGCTGTTGCGGCGAGGCCATTGGCGGATAAGGGCCACCCCTCAAACCCGGAATATCACGTAAATCTTCGCGTTGGGTTGTCAAGGAATTCGCCCGTGAATTATCAGATAACATTTTCCGATCCACGTGACCATATCGATCCGACGAATAGCCAATCAAGGGATTGCTCGTGATAGGCTCGTTCAGGCTCGGAATATCGTTCATAAGCCTCGAACTGACCCTGCTTCTAGGGCCAGGCCTATGAGGGACCATCGGATGCCGAGCACGTCCTGGTGGCATCGTAACTTCTGCATCATGTCCTTTGAGATTGCTCACGCTAGGCAGTCTTCTGGTTCGTCGCGAAGTAACGCTCATCATGTCAAAATTGTCTGGGTCAATAGGAGGCATTGGTGGTGGTGCTTCGACGTACATATCGTCGTCGTCACCATCATCGTCATATACGCTCCTTGAGCGGCTCTTTTTCCGCCCGTGCTTGCCCATCTGCCGAAGCCCAAGCTCCTGCTCCCTTAAGGCCAGTTCTCGCTGCCTCAACGCCAACTCCCGTTCCCGAAGAGCAATGTCGCCTCCATTGTACCCTCCCCCAATGCTCCCAGCATATGCATTACTCATTTCATCGCCCACCATATCTCCATACAAGGCGATGTGCCCAAACTCCTCCAACAATACCTCCCCATCCATAGAGTTCCTTCGGGGGGGTGTTGCGGAGGGCGGCCTCGGCGAGTACGACCCATTCCTTCGAGGATAGCCATTGGGATGTAGGCCGTTTGGTGGGCCATTGGGGGGCGGGCCGTTGAACTGAGAAGGAGGCGGGGGTCCGCGCCTAACCCCCATATGGTGGTCAGGCCCAGGGCCGCCTCTAGGTGGCGGAGGTCGGCGATTGTTCAGCATTGCTCCATTCGGCTGTTGACCAGGTGGAGGCCCTGGAGGACCGCGCATTTGCCTCGGTGCAGGCTGTGTAATTGATGCCGTTGGTGATACGGGGGGTTTCGATTGGGCAACCGTCTGTGCATGGTGAAGCATTGTATATAGTGACTGACAGCAACTAGCCTTCACGCCTACCAGTTGTGCAAATTTGATCGGCGAGCCCAGATACGACTCAATCTCCATCGGCCTTCGAGCAGCAAAATCTTGATAGAACATTGACTGTTGCGCTGCCTGCAATTGAGTGTCCATTGTGCGTTGTTTGAAATCCTGCGGAAAAGAGCATTCTTGTGCTTTCGCAATCTCCATGAGCTCATCGATTATATCCGAAATTAGCTTCTTGGCACCAGTCTTCTCCATCAGTTGGCTGTGAACCGGTGTTTCCAGCAATACGCTTAGCGGTTGGAATGCTATTGGTCTATTCATCTGTTAGCAAGGTCTCTTCGGGGGGGGGGGGGGGGGGGGGTACAGTGCCCCGAGAGCTTACCCTATCATTCTTTCCCACTGCTCCTGTCTGATATTTGTGGAGACATGGCAATCCACTTGACCGGAGGCAAGAGTCAACGCCAGGGCTTCCGCCATATCCATTTGGATGGGCATGGGAATGCTCGCATTCTGGCTTGTCGAGCCCAACCAGATCTCGGAACTATCCACGTGCTCAAACTCGCTCGGGCCAAGTTGGTTGATATTCGCACCAGCCACAAGCGATAGCACGATGTTTGTAGGATAGCGGGACTCCAGATAAGCCTCTACTCCCAAACAGGATGTGGTATTGACAACTATGCAAGTGTCTCGCGGCACGACAACGGACTCGATTATGCTTCCTAGGTCGTAGACGTCCGGCAACGCTTTGACACACAATATAACATAGTCAAACCCCGCTGGCGAGGTAGCAGCCTCCTCGGGAGTCCGGACAACTGGTTTAAAGAATCAGCACCCGGCCATCAATCGAAGGGTTCAAGGTCTGTGCCCACCAGAATGCAGTTTGAACCTCTCATTGCCGTACTTGTTTGATCTGGGAAAGCGTCAGCGAGCCGTACAAACATCTCCCTCACCAGAAAGTAAGCAAACAAACTTGAAGGAAATCCCGTATTGGGACACAGAATCAAACCCCGACTTCCATACTAGTGTGACATCGCAGGCGTGCGTGGCTTGTAACCTCCAGGAGAGAAAGGCAGATACGGGATTAGAACCCACTGGCAGTTTGTTAGCAAAATCTTATCCAGCCCACTTCCGATAGCGGGACATTCCACCCACCTGAGAGTATTCGCAACCGAGGCGCGGCAGGTGCCATGAGTATCTCTTGCTGATGTAAAGGAGTGAAAACAATCCGAGAAGAGATTGGCAGCGTCAGGAGAGATGCTTATTAGAGGCGTCAGGAATCCGGTTGAATAGAAGGGTTATCTTTTCTATGGTTCCAAAGGAATGCTGGGACTCGTCAGGGGAACCAGGTTGCTATGCCACGGCACGGAAAGCGCAGAATAAACAAAGAATCCGAGGCTGGAGCGGTGAGTGGTGGGAATAGAAGGAATGTGGGAAAGACAAGCTCTCTGTAGGCAAGCAGACCGGGGGAACAAAGGTGAGCGGGTGAGAGGGAGCGAGCGTGGAGGCCTTGATGGGGTGGAGGTAGGGACAGAGCCCCGTTGGCTCGGCCGTTTCACTGTCGATAAGCCGCCAGAATGGAGACGGGGCAGCAGCAGCAGGCCGGAGAGCGTCTCGAGCTACAATCCCAATGGTGCAGCTACGGTATTATGAGGGATGCTGCTGCTCGGGAGAGTGATCCGGCCCCTAATTGCTGGATATTCGATGGAGATAGCGGCAGGAGAGGGAGGATGGGAGTGGAGGGGGGGGGGCGAAGATTGGGCAGGGCACCGGTAGCGTGTGAGTGAAGGCGAGGGTCAGAGATGAGGAGTGGAACGAGAAGGGGAAAGCTGGTACCGGTATGCAAAAGATCTGAGGATGTCTACGACAACCCAAAAGCGAGGTGGACGACGAAAGGGCGGTGGGGGGATCAAAAAACAATAATAGCGAAACCAGCTAATGATACATGGTTGCCCAATCGCGACCCGCCTTATTTTCTTCCCACTTTTCCCTTTCTTTTCTTTTTCCCCTTTCCTTTCCTTTTTCTTTCCTTCCTTTCCTTTTCCCCCTTCCCTTTTCTCACCTTGCCTTCTCTGGGCGCTGCAGCTTCCTTGCCGTTGAAGGGGAAAAGAGCGCGACACGAACAGAGCCCAGATACCGGTAGTGAATGGGTACCAGTAGGAAATGCTACCAATCCGGTCAACATATCTTGGTCTCGTAGCCCGCATCTACCGTACCTCGCCCACCCCACACACCCCAGAACGCGAGAGGGGAGAAGAAATGCAGACGGAACAAGGAGGAATCAGCACTTTGGGATATTGATATTCGAGCAAAGGGCCAAAAAAGTTTACAGATCGTCCATCGGGTGGAACCTCACAAGCGCACTGTAGAGTTGCTAAGGTGTCCACCGACCCGCATCCCTCTGTTAATAAAATTAATGACCCGTTAATACCGGCGTCGAGGCTTCCATATCAGTGGCGGTACAGTACCGGTAGAGCAATAGTTCCGTATTCGGTATTGGTAAACAACCCAAGCCTACTCAGAGCCCATTCGGTGGGAGGCGAGCGGAGATTGAGCTGTGGGCGAGAAAAAAAACATGAGCGAGTGTTTCTGCCATCCATGGTTTCCGGATAGGGCTATCCTCACGTCTGCGTCTTCAAGCCAGGCCTTCTCGGCCCAGCGTTGGAGCGCCGGCACTTGTCTTTTGCTACGTTATTACTGTTTGTGCGATAGCTGTACACGCATATCATAGAAGGACAGGAAAGAGCCGGCCCCGGGGAAGGGATATCGGTAGGGCACAATAGCACACCCGTTCATTGAATCATCTGGGCTGGTTCCGGAGCTTTAGGAAGCCACCCGCACACCAGATACGATGCCCTCGGGCGGAGACAGCAGGGGAAACAAACGAGACGAGTGATTCGAGGGTGTGTTCCTCTTGTAGGCACCTGCCCGTCGGGCGGTGGGTTGCGCCCAATCACCAGAACAACGGGGGGGGGGGCTTGCAATCACAGATGGGTTTGGTCAATCATCATTCGAGCAATTTGGGGGCAGGGGAGCCAACCAAGACTTGGATACCGGTACCCCCTGCCATCCTTACGTTATCCTTCTTCTTCTTCTTCTTCTTCTTCTTCTTCTTTATTCTCGATTTGTCCCCCAAGTCTATTACGGTACGGCACCGTACTCGTACCGTACAGCGCATACTGGTATTACGGTATTGCTACAAAGGGGCCATACGGTACTCGTGAAGTGCTGGCACAAAGGTAATTTACCGTATCTATGTCTCTCGATGGCTAGCGAGCGGCGGCCCCGCTCAAGATCAGCCACATCTAAAGACATATCCACACAACCGTACCCACCAAAGACACCAAGGTCCGATACCAAGAAATAGCTCTGTCTCTCCGACCCGTCCCTCTCTGCCATAAACACATCCGTAACCTCCCTCACCTCCCAAAGAGATTCGTGGAGGGCTTACCGGTACTCCAGCAACTTGGCGGGCTGCAAGGCAGTTTGATAGTGCCCGTACCGGCACAGTACGTGGAGGGTTCAAGTGAATTGTGCGCTGGACAAATAGCATACAGTAGGGAAGCTTTCCACGAAAATTGAGGGAGCGACGGGGGCAAGACGTCATTCCAAACGCGAACACACTGACCAACGGATCCCTACAACGCTCTCCGCAAGCCACAAACCAAAGACGGGAACCACATCTACAGTATTTCTCGCTCGCCCCCCCCCCACCACGGCAGCAGCTGATGCTGTAAGATCACGGTAGATTTCGGGCGACAGCCTTACAAAATCTCCGCGAGAGACTGCTGCGCTCGTACTCTCATCCACCGCCGTCCACACCCGCGAGAGGGAGCGGGGGCGGAGGATTTAGATTGAGGGGTCGACGCGACCGCGCTGTCTCTCTCGTGGATCCGACGCGGGATCCTCAGCTCTGCTCGGATAAAAGGCTCCATCCAAGTCCTCCAATTTGCTCGTGCAGTGCATTGCCAAGCTCGTGTCATCATGACCCAAACCAGGGTTATCCAATGGAAAGCGTTCCGGCCGTTGGTGTGAGACCATCTCTCATCCCTGTTCGCCAGCCAGTCGCTGCCAATCTGGCAGTTAACGGGCGCAACCACTGACGAATTACGGCTTCTGGTGAGGTCCCAGACGTGCCGTATCGAGAATATGGCTGATAAATTGTCGCTGTGTTACTCAGATCGAGGCTACCTGGCATGCCGGTGCCGTTTGCTCGTACTTGTACGAGTGCAGTGCCTACCGGTACCGGTGCTGTACGAGCACTTGTGCCGTACCGTATCTGTTTACCCAGCCGAGGAACATCTCGTGAGTGCACTGCCGGCCCAGTGCAACAGGGGTATCGGTATGGCACAGCATGAGAGTTTGCCCGAAGATACGGTAGGGTGCAGTACGAGTACCAGGGCGAGTGCGGTATGATAGGTTACCAGTGCGGCACTCGCTCGCACACGCACCGGTATCCTCGACCCAGGGAAAACTTTCTCTCCCACCAGCTATTTTTAGGAAATCTTTTCAGTCCCGGTCGGATTCACATTCGCCACGGGCTCCCGGGAGTATTCGCATCCGTCTACCTGTACGAGTACAAGTACGAGTGCTAGTACCGGTACAGTACGAGTACTCGAGTACAGTGCTCGAGTACTTGTGCCCACCGGTGCCGCGCTCGAGCACTGCTACCCTATCGTATTTATCTCCACCTTGGGGGGATCGTGCCCGATGCGGTAGGACGCGACGCACATGCGCGTCAACACTCTGGACAGCCCACTGACAAACTTGCAGTGCCGCCAAGCGTGTGCTGCGCGAGTGCCGGGATGTACCACGACCAATTTGCACCCAAACGGTAAAGCACATTCCCTATCGGCACTTTCAGCAATTCAACCCTTGTCGACCAGCAGGATACCGGTACCACGCAAACAATGTCCGGCAAGATTATCAAGCCCCAAATTTGTCATTCGGGTGCTAGAGTTCTCCGCGAGCCTGGACAAAACTTGCGGGAGACGGCGAAGAACTTTTTTCCGAATGGCCCGGAGGGTTCACCCGGTCGAGCTGTCGCTTTCTCCAGCCGGCCAAAACGTGGACGCTGAAGTCGAAGGGATTAGCCCAACGTCGGTTTCGGGAATTCCTCGTGCGATAGACCCGACACCCAAGTAACTCAATGTGCCCGGAGTTCCGCTACCGTACCGTACCATACTCTGGCTCCAATTCTGGGCAACACGACTACCGGTACTCCTTGCTTGCCTGGGGTTGGTAAATTGGTTGGCTTGGCGAGCAGGTGGACCGTCATGAGGTCGTCCCGCGATTTTTTTCGCATTGTTTATTCCCCTAATCGCCACGAGGCATTCTCTATCTCCTATCACAGAGAGGCCCCCAGGGTATCCACTTTGCTCCTTCAACTCACGTATTTCACATCTGCTCGAGGGCCAAGCGCCGCAGGGACAACACACTGCACCAGTAGGTTTTATGCATTTGGACCGTGGGGGACCCGGAATAAGCCCAGAAGACAATCCCACCAGGCAAGGGCACTGTGTGTGGGATTTGGATTAGGGATTTATACCTCTCGGGGATCTCGGGGGTAAATCACCAATATGCACTCGACTGTGCCGCCGTGCGGTTTGGCCCAGACTCCATTCTTCTAGGATGCAGAGCCAGTGTGGTATTCGGCGCCCCCTTGCCTCTTACACGTCCCAGGCATATTGAACCCGAACACAGGGGTGTAAAATGGGGGGGGTGAGCAGGGGCCTGACAAGGGTTCGGCACACAGTCTGACATTGCACATTTGGCTAAAGGGCTGAAGTTGAAGTAGTGGAAAGTGTGTATCGTATTCAATAGAAGTCGCTTGTAGATATACAGATTGAAAGAAAACCACGATAGTTAAAGATTAAAAATTAGAAATTAAAATTAATATTAAAATTAAGAACTAAGAATTAAGAATTAAGAATTAAAAACTAAAAACTAAAAATTAAAAAAAGTTCACCACCGCGTATGACCTCCGCCAGCTGCTATAACAGCTTCGATCCTTTCGGGCATAGAATCAACAAATGACAAAAGATCAACTTCAGAGATCTTCTGCCATTCCTCCTGAATGGCCTCCCGCATACCCAGTAGAGTAGTAGGCCGGGGTGACCTCTTGTTTAGCATATCCTTAAGGATGTTCCAAACATTCTCAATTGGATTGAGGTCAGGTGAGCAGGGAGGCCA